CACTCTCACTCTCACTCTCCCTCTTCTCTCCCTCCTCTCCCTCCTCTCTCTCTCCATCTCTCTTCTCTCCCTCTCCCTTTCTCTTCTCTCTCTTGCGTTCTTTCTTTCTTTTCCTCTTCCCCCTGTGGTTATTTTGTGTATAGTAGAAAATAACTTAATGTTTCACTGTATGTGCTGTTGTGTGTGTGTGTGTGTGTAAATGAATGAAGTCCTGTGGGTACTGCAGCCCTGTTATTGATGGGGTGCTGGATGAACACTGCTCGACCCTCAGAGGAATGCAATCCTAGGTGCACCAAACAGATGGGCATTGCACATGAAATAAGAGTTTTTGAATATGTGGGAAAGAGTAAAGGAAAACGAGGAGTGGSTGAAATAATTTATCTTTTCTGTCCAGAAGTTTATGCTACAGGCCAAAAAAAAGGAGAAAGTTATAATATTCAGGCTTTCTTGCTTGCTGCCCTAAGCTTTACTAATTCATGCTAATGAATTTCTTGGCTCTCCCTGAAAAGACGGCAGTGGCAGAAGTAGTGTTCAGAGATAGGCAGGCAATGCTTTGATGGTCTTAATTTGAAGTGTTGCCCCATTCCACTCTTTGCAATCRGCATACCAGTCCCAAGCAATATTCGTTTGAATACACTAATTTAAGAGCAGAAGACAAAGTAAGACAACTGTAGCACCTTTAATTAATTTGGCATTTTTCCTTGAAATGAAACAATAATTGGATATCAGTTTTATTGTTATGGGAACACCTCAGAGATTATTTTTAAAAATGCCACTTCTATATAGCATGAAATTAGGAAGCCCTCTAACTCTTTTTTTTGGGGGGCAAAGCAAGTATCCATAATAATTAGTCGCCTTGTATCTGTGCCAGTACAAAAATGTAGGTTTGAAATCCATCCCTTAATGCCTGGAGCTAACCACTGTTGTGATTATTGTTATTAGGGGTAAATGTAAAACAAATAACATAATGAGCATTTATGTCCTGCTTGCCAGACATTCTAGCTAGGTCCATCTTCTCCTCTTTTTTGTTTAATTTGGTTCAATTTTTTTAAAAAAAAAAGTAACCACATGTAATTTTAGACTGCCTGGGAGGTTATAAAACCCCTGTTAAGCTGAGGTCTGTAAGAATGGTGTACAAAGTGGTTGTGTGTATCTCATGGGCAGCAACTTTGGGCAGAGGGATAAATTAGATGACTTTGTAGGGTTTCCTGCAGTGCTAGGCATGCACAGGTAAATCATCACCCTCTCCAGCACCAGTTTCCCTCCCGTGGGAGTTACAGCACTGATATGCCCTCACTGACACCATTGTGTGGTGTCTGGTGTACTCACAGTTCAGTGATGCTCATTTTTGTTATTTACAGRGATTCCAACAATACACTGCTATCAGAAATACACTGCCAGGTAAAATTACCGTGTGGTAAGAGGAATATTCTGGACATTGAGTTGGAAGGTACTCTGGGACAGTGACTTCCAGGTCTGCAGCCTGGGAGGGAAGAGATGGAGAAAGGAGCTGCCCCAAGCTAAGCACAGCTTTACTGCATCATTATGCAATTAATAACACATTTAACCKACTGTGGGACAAAGCTTTTCCACATCAGATATGCCAGACAGGAAAGAGAGCCAGTTACACATATACTGTCTATCACCTTCTCAAAAACACCATGTTGGTATCATGGGCACATTCATATGTAATCATACATTCTGTAGTGCATGTTCAATTCTGCAGTTGTAGCATACAAGGAGGCACGAGGTAGGATCCAGATCTCAACTGGCAACACAGGCACTGGAGGTGAGCAGAGTTCTCTCGAGGTTGTAGACATGGGAATATACTTCCCTGAGCAGGYCTCAGTGAGACTTAAGTGATTTCCACACTGTTCATTGCTAAGACATGAATGTCCATAYCTGCTGTGAATGTGTGAAGAAGCATCCTGCTGTGTTGCTGAAATAGAGCAGGCAAAAACTACTGGACAAATCCCAGAACACATGGRATCACAGACTTTCTTGGACCAAGCAGCTCGGACTTAGCAGTTAATAGGTGTGCTAGATTTCTCTGACATGGGATACTTACAGAAATGACCTTTGCTGCACAGCATTGCTAAGCACCGTTTGTGCTTCCAGGTGCACCGATGCCATCCCAAGCACTGGAATCAGATGAGGATTTGCAGCTGTTGAAAGAGGTAGGCATCATCTGCCATGTGGTATACTCCGTTTCTTCTGTGGCCAGCCTAGCTGGAGTCCCACCTAATTATCCATTATCTTGCACAGAGTTCAGGTGTGTTTTCTTCCAGTCATGCTTCTCCTGTGTGTGTCTTATCAGCAAAGAGGTGAAATACCTAATTTTGCAGATATTCTGAGCAGTTGCTTCAGGAGGATGTTGGGACTGAGTGTTGAGATTGCCTTGTCTCAATCGAGAGCTGTGTTTGAGAGCAGTTGTCATTTACTGTCAGTGACCAGGCACTGTCCCCTGGAAGCACTGCAGTGTTCTGTCTGGTGGTTCTATRGCCTGTACATGATATGCAAGAAATTGTTTCAGCTCATCCAGTCTTGCCTCTTGCATCCTCTGTTCTGCACACAGGGCTGGGACATCATTGTTTAATCCTGTCCTAGCCCCCCAATTAACTAGGTAAGGATTAATGTACTGTGTCAATTAATCCCTCTAACATTTGGCTACTGATTGGTATCATAACTTCCRCTCTCATCTCTGAAATGGACATTTGTTTTGACTCTGCAGTGTGATGCTTGTGTTAACACAGRCTCTTCCCTGCCCTTTTGGAACAGATGGAGTGGCAGGACATAACATGTGGACAGGGTTTATCCTGCATCTTGCATGCCCTGGTGTTGCTGTAACCTTCAACTCCTGTGTTGACATTTAATTTAGCAGCTTTTGATAACACTGGAAATCAAGTGACTCAWCAGGGGGGCAGATGCAGAGAGTAAATTTCTTCTGATTGAGACCATTACAGGAGACGTTCCCCTTACTGTCACCTCCCCACAGTTCATACTGGAGACAGTGACTCAAAACCTAATCTTTTTCCAGACTGGTGCTTGAATGAATCCTAGTGATACTTACCTCCGGGGAAAAAATGGTGTCTTGGGAATTAAGATCCTGATAACCATAAGGAGCTTTTGAATATTAGTTATTTACATTCTGGATTAAAAAAAGCTGTTTCATACATTTCTATGTGTCTTGATAAGATTTGCTAGCTGTAAGATTTGTCCCTATGGTGACTAGAAACCAAGGCAAAGGTCCTATTGATTTCAGTGAAGAAAACAGTATGCAAAAAATACTAAATTTTGTAAAATTTTGTAATAGAAGCAATATAAAAGCTACCATTATAACAAGAATTATGCTGGACTGAAAAGGGTCTAAGGAAAGAGAATTAGATATATCTACATGCCCTAAATCAATCTAATTACTCACTCATACTAGTTCACTGGTGTTTTTTAAAATGCAAATAATAGTTCTTCCCTCTGCTACTTTACTAGTGGATCATTCAGGAGAAACCCAGCCTCTAAATAAACTGTGTATTTTCCAGGAATGGTTCTGAGTTTATAAATTTATAACTTTGTAACTAAGTATTTTGTTTCATTACTTGTCTCTAACTTCCTTTTGTCTTTTTATGTTATTTAACCAGCTACAAGCACCTTGCAATCTTCTACCCTCAGGCCACATTTCTGAGACAGGAGAGAAATTTTTGGAGAAGGTTCATAAAAGACAGAAACTACTATTTTTTTAAAGGGAATTAACAGAATTTGTGGCTTTTTCTCAATCCTTGCTTTGTCTGCAAAGGTTTTACCTGAGAGATACAATTGTGTTGAGCACAAAGCAGTCTCTGCCTTGATCTCCTACTGAATTATGGTAGTTCTCTGAGTCAAGTAAATAAACAAATAGAAACCAAACATGAACAATCCCCAAGAGGAAACTGCATTTTTTTGTACRTAAGCTGCCAAAATTACTTCAGCTTAGTTTTATCTCATTCATTGCTGTTTTCTTCCTYTATGCTTTCTTACTCTGTAAGTAGTGAGGCTGAACTAATACATTCAAACACATGCAAGATGAAGGAAAAAGAGAAGGGAGAGGGTGTGTTACCAGCAAAACCTATTTGAAAAGGAAATTCTGTGAGCTGTTAGTTTTCCCACTATGTCTGCTAATGCTTTCTAATAGATTGTCTCTGGAGAAATGAATCATCTCTTCCCTTGAAGTGTTCAGATAAATTTTTTTTTTATAATTTCTTTTTTTCATTTTATGTTTTAATTGCTAATGAGTGCTGTTTTAGGGGGTTTTACCTACAATAAAATTGTATTGCCCGCTCTATGTAAAAAAACCAACACCCCATTATTTTTTTGTGCAGCCTGTGAACAATATGAATGGAAAAGATTTTTTTCATCTAATACTATCAAATATTAAATGGAAAAAATTAGAATATACCGATGGAGATTGCTATTGATGCAACTTTAAAGTTATTTTGTAAAACTTTAAGCTGCTTTTTTCATCATTATTAAACTGTGCAACTTCAGTTGCAGTGCTGGAGACTTTTCCTTGCTGAATGCTCAGAACATCAGCCCTGGTAATATTATTTCTGTGAACTCAAATACCTTTTATTCTATTTTTTTATCCCTTCTCTAACAATAACTCCACTAAAAATTAGTCAGTATTATGATATTCTTTCATCTTGGAAAAGAGACTACGGAAGTAGGATGTAATTAATGCAAGGTTATGAACAGTGGGGAGATGATGGGTAGGAATCCCTTGTTCAGTACTTCTTCCAAGACAAGATCATGACAGCACTGAATGAAGACAGCTTTGAAAAGACTGGTGAAGACAAACAGAAGTGGTGTTCCACACAGTGTTTGGGAAACTGCTGGTACAAATTGAMTGGTGTGCATGAGATGTGCCAGCACATATCATAATCACTCAAGGGTGCATTTGTCAAGCACCTGCATGGATGCTGTAATGCAATTGAAAGAGTTGTGAGTGAGGATTAATCCTTGAATCCCTCGCCTTAGTTTTGTCAATTTCTTCACAGTTTTGTATAATTCAWAGGGATTGTAGAAGAGATTCAAGTTCATGGTTCATACCCCAGATGCTTACAATCATAATTTAAAATATCACTTAGTCTGAGAAATTTGCAGGTAAGAGAAGCATGTGGTGGATAAGAGAATAAAGGTCACAAATACATATGATTGTTCAGGTCAAGCAAGTATGTTTGATTTTGCTGTTGTTTTCTTTTTTATGTGGTTAAGGCCTTTTCCTCCTTTGAATGCCAAGTATTTAATGAATGGATCTATAAGGACGCCTTACAGTAGACAAGCTTGCCATGCCATTAGCTGCCCTTACCTTTTTCTGAAAATATATGTATTTCCCTTGTTTTTATTACTCTGACTTCCTAAAAAAAATTGTGTGAACTTTTACAGATAGACGATGCATGTTCTGCTTACCTGTCTTCAGATTCTCAGCCTCGGGTGAGTCAGACAGAGGTAACTTTRTTTTTGGTACTGTTTGTTATGTGGAATAGATTTGGAAGTGTGATACCTGAGTTTCTGTTTTCTTTGTATTAGGTGTCCAGTATACTGGAAGAGCTTTGTTTTTTCATTATGGGATTTCTCCAGAAACCACAGGTAACACACACAAAACACTGCCCAACATTTTTGAAGCCTGATGTCTCACTGTGCCATTGTCTATAATGAATTCTGAGGACCCAGTATACAAAGTGTCATTCAGTATTGGATGTRTTTCCGTAAGTTTTTACACTGAAATGCCATGTGTTCGAATGCAAGAGCTTGCAAAGAAAACAGGGAGACATCAATGTTTGGAAAATAATCTCCAGATGGCATACAAGGTTTTAGGTGTTTTTATTGCTTTACATTAGAAAAATTGTGAGTTCTCAATAGAGAAAGAAATTTACTTAGGAGAGTCTAGGGATGTGCAAAGGAGCATCTGCTAAACACTTGTAGGGCAGAGTAACMAATGCTCTCTACAGAATTTGAAATGATTAGTTGGGTTGATAAGCAAAGACATGTAATACATCTGTCAAGGAAGAATGATATTAAAACTCAGTGCTGAAAAGATTATGTATGTAATTAAAATTGTCCGTTGCTCTTTTTATTTTAATGAATAACAGCCTCTCTACCAACTGTTATTTCCACAGGATTTAGATGAGAAAGACAACACCAAAAGGGTAAGATTTCTATTGTACATCCTACAATCACATTTAAAAAGGCAAGAAAATCATAACACTCTTGCCCTGTTTTGTAGTAAAACCCCACTTTTAATTTTTTTGAACAGTTCTTATTTCATTATTCTAAGACTCATGACTCGGGCAACTCAGACATCATGGTAAGTGGCACAGCACCTCCTTGTGAGTGAGTCGTGTGCTTGCAAATCAAACCAAGGCAGTGTTCCTTGTTGCTGTATTCTGTCCAGCTCTATGGCAAGCTCAGGACTTSGAGCTGCATGTTTAAGATAATGGAAGTGTTTTAGTGTTGTGTGAGAGGATAATCAGAACTGTACAGGTGTGAAAAAAAAAAAAAAAAAAACCCTAACAAACTCGACCAAACATTCACAGAATCCCAACTGAATCTTAATCTTGTAGTTTCAAATTTTAAAAATGAGGTCAAATACTTTTTTTCAGGTATTGAAACACAGCACATACAGTGAAACAGTGGGGACTTACAAAAGCTGAGAACTTGACCATAACAATTAGAAACTCTTGAAGCACTTTTATTAGTTACTAATTAAACTGTATAAATGCATTTGCACATGTAATAAATATGTAGTGAGCAAAACAGTATTTAAGTCTCACTTGGACTTTGGATTATATTTTGAATGAGAGATACAGTTTAAACCATGGCCAAGAATCATTGCTTTATAAGTATTCTCATAAACCAACAAATCCAGTACATGTGATCCATTATTGCTTTTAAAGTGCAAACATGTTGTTATTTGTGTGCATCTATGCACCACAGGATTTTGAGAAAGTTAAACATATTCATATTTTCCTGTTTCTTAACAGTCATTCTTACATGCCAATGTCCATTTTTGCCTTGTTCTTTACATTTCTTCAGAAATGTGTGTTGTGTTTCCTAGAAAGTGGTATTGCTCATACTGAGGTCAATGTTTTCAAGCTAGAGCTGCTTTGAAGGCTTTGATGGTAATTAAAGCACAGTGAAATGAGCTATTTCTTCTGCTGCTGCTACTCAAAAGGTTACTGCATCCCACTTCATCACCATCCTGAATACTTTGCCACTGCCCCAGAGATTACTGCTTTTTCACTTCTTTTGGTTTAGCTGTTCAGATGACTATTTTCCAGCCATTCTCAGAGATACTAACTTAGGTGAGATCTATCATTCCTTGGCTTTATAACCTTTTCCACTGGCTGCAAGATAGAGCCCAAGTGGTCAGCTGGGATGTCCATGAACTCCTTCACTCACATCAGACTCCTACTTTTTTTAAATATTATGGTCCCATATTGCCTACCTTGGCAGATAGTGCAAAACTGGCTACAAACAACCAAATTCTTTTTACCTAYTAAGTAAAAAATGCTTTGGTAACTTCATATATTACAATTCTCTTAATTGCATTACTTTTCTATGAAGTATTGTATCAAAAGCACATTATTTTTAAATTACATTTATATGGGATGAAGGTTTAAATTGATTAAYGGAACACAGTTTTTTATACTTTATTTCTCACTGTGGACCTCTCTCCACAATCCCATGTGGTTTTGCCAGGGTGGGCACTTGGGCTGCACACARTGCCACTGTGCTTAACTAGGCTGTCTGCAAACCTAGTCTTGCTGGACACAAGGAATTTCATGGTTGGAACTCAGAGTGACCAGCACAATGGTTATGAATGTCACTTGAGAATGGATCCCTCCTGTACACTGTTGCCTAGCAAAAAAAAATCAAATAATTTTTCCTGTTGCCATTTATTTTGAAAATTAATTTCTCAGTATAACAGAGACTGAAGCTGCTAACTTCCATGGTAGAAAACTGAASAAGTGTTAGTAGGAATACTGTATGGAAATATTCTCAGTACCACTCACAGAGACTGATCAAACTTTGAATAATTCCAGAAGTCTGTAAATTGTTCTGAACTTTCAATTAGCATAGATGAGGATACATAGCTTTTCCCTCCATCACTCTGTGTGGTGTAAATGTAAATGTTGGTACCTGTTTGCTGTCAAGTCAAAATGTTTTTWAAAAAAAAGTTTCTCAGTTAATATCTTCAGTCCTTTTTTGATGCATGTTTGGTCCATAAGCCAATTCTGCAAAAAGAGGGTTTTTTTGCATCGTGAGTGCCAACTTTCATTGTTGCTCATGTGTGTATGTTCGTGTCCTCTCAGTCGTCTGTCGTGCATCCTTTACTGCAACTCGTTCCGCAGCTTAATGAAAGAAGACTGAAGAGATACAAACTGGACGTATGTAAACTTAAACTCTGCATGCTCGTGTTCTCACACTTTGTGATTCATTAGCTTTTCTAAAAATGCCCTTGTAAACCTTTCTGCTGATCTATTTTGGTTGGGCTACCCAACTCTTGTTACAGAATGTGCCTCAGGAAGGTTTATATTGCTACTGGTCTTTTTTCTGTCTCATATTGGGAAGAAAAACAGAGCCATAACAGAACCAGTACATAAACACATCCACCTCCCTCCCTGACTAGATAAGGAATTGAAAAGGTGGATGAGTGAAGAAGGAAATATGCTTTATTGAAGGCATTCTTTCTTCTCAACTTGGAACAAAACCAGATTTTTTCACAGCTTTGATTTCTCTTGAGCTACATCTTGACTGATAGGATATGATCTTGCATTTTTTTGGCAAATAAATCTAAGAGACTAAGATACCATCTTGAGGGCAGGCACTAAAATAAAACTCCAAACAATCATACTTCTTCATTAATACATATATTTCTGCGTACATATATACATGCAGGTTTCTGAATAAACAAACATCTCCAAACCCTTGGAAGGTGGGTGTTACAAAAATGACAGACTTTTAGCTTCAGCTGTTTTCCACTATCAAACTTCTGACACTCAAACAAGAACACTATGTAATCTTTAAGAAGTRTCTGTCTATAAGAGGAAAATGACATGTTCACATAAATCACAATTTCTCATTAGTAATTGTACTCTTGATTCCTTTTATGTTCCAGGTGAATTTCCTAATCTTGCAACAACTGCCTATTTGGTTTCTATTTTCAGTTTTGTTCACATATTGAATAGAAATTGTAGAAAAATAATGACATTCAAATGGCAATGTACAGAAAAATAATGACACTCAAATGGCAATTACAGATATATTTTTATCCTTTTGAAATAATAAAGAATTATTGTAGTGATCAAATTATAAATCCAATATGGGTATTCAAACCCAGGTAATACTAGAATGAGTAGAATAATAAAAATAAAAACCATACAGATGTTTTATATGTAGCAAGAAACTGAATATAGTGCTCTATGTGGTGAGCAAAAGCCAGAATTAGAACCAAAACTCAAAAAAAAAGTATAGTTTAAACCCTACTTCCTTTGAAAGCTTCCCTGGATTGAATCTACTTCTGTAATTTGGAAATGATAGGAGTCATCCTGWTTTACACAATTGTCACAGCATTAGAATAGAGCATGGAGTGATTTCTTTCTATGACACTTCACATTATGATATTTATCCAAGAAATTTACCCCAGTTTTTAATTGAGGAATACCATCATTGCTAAATAAAAGCCATCTACATTTTAGGTTCTGCTAAACACAACATTTAGACTATTTYGTTTCTCAATTGACTGTCTCCCCACCTGCAGGACAGGGGAATACCATCATTGCTAATGGATACCAACAGAAGCAACTAGAATACTGGGATTAACTTTATGTGTTTTCTAATCATGAAGATCCCATTAAAAGGAGCTGGATGCTTCATACATTGTAGTTGTTACATTTAAATGGAATTTCTATTTTCTTCATCGTTTGTCATCTTTATCACCCCTCTTGCTGTATGGATCACAACATTGTTGTTTCACCCTGTGTGCAGCATGGACAGGATAGACTACCACAAGCACTGCAGTTTGGGAGTTCATGTGAGAGGGGTGKTTATGGTACATCTTTGGGAACAGTCTGAGCTCTCATTCCTGGGAGCAGCCTGAGCCTCTCTGATATTTAAGCACTGCACTGTTGTCCTCCTGCAAGATGCAAAAAGCAACTCTACTTTATCTGTAGAGACTCTGCTACCATGAAGATGCTCTGGTTGTGTCCGGGTAATGAAACCAGGAAAATCAAAGGCAAAGGCTTATCATCATTTCTAGTACCATTCTAAAGCAGTCTGAGCTGAGCTAAAACTTCAGGTGCAATTTGGCCCCATTCAGATGTTTTCTGCTATTTCTACATGACAACATGAACTTCATATTACTGACATGGAGAAATGCACATAAAACCTTTATGGAGCAAGACTGTATGTACTATTGAAGAAATACTTTTTATATGTGCATAAGCAACCTCTTTATATGCATTAATTTACAGCAGTGGATATAATTTTAAATACTTTTTTTTTCTTCAGGAGGAACTTCAAGGACCTGGAATGATTCAAAGCAGAGGCTACTTTTTCTACAGGGTATGGTTGGTTTGACTTTTTGTCTTTTTGTATTGGGATAAGGGTTACCAAAAAAAGAAAAAAAAAAAAAGAGTAGAGTAACCACTGAATTACAAAATTATTGTGATTGAGGAAACTTTTTTTCAGTAATAGCATTCTACCCTGCTGGACTACTCAAAGTCTGCTCCTAACATTTTCTTGAATAAAAATAAAGGCATAATAGCAATTTCTTTTAATCATATTCCTATGTTTGTGTATACATGATACTATGCTACGCCTTAAGGAGTCATTGGCTTTTATATATCCAATTCTCGGGGAAAGTTCTAGAAAATACAGCATCTTAGGCAATCTTTGTAAAGCATTGTTCAACCGGGTATGTTTGCACATRACATAAATACAAATTCATGCTTACACACTGTGCTAGGCCTGACCTTCCATTTTCCTTGTGTTTTGACCAGTAAGGTCAAATCTAGATACRGAAATTCTCATGAGACTTAATCTACTGTGTTAATCTTTTATGCCATACAGCCTTCTAACTTCATGTCAGCAAAACTGAAAAAGATAGCAAGTCAGATTTTAGAATAGTTCTCTTGATTTCTGTTAGTATTTCTACTTAAATAAGAAAGTGATAAATAAGAAATGGCTTTAAATAAAAATGTGGCTTGATGATCTTAAGTCTTTTTTCCAACCCAAATTATTCTGTAATTCTAATGAAAAGACCACAAGTTTGTATAGTTACATTTCTTATGTATCAGGCTTSGATCTTTAGAGTGGCAGGACAAAGTTATGGGTAATATTAAAATTAGTGCATTCATGCTTCCAGAGTAAAAGGCAAATCTTTATAAAGCTCAAAAAGAATTTTTTTATCAGCTTTAGTAGAAGTTGTATCAAGTCCCTCTTTAGGGCAAAATATTACTGAAAAACACCACCAYGAAAAGGGAGAAAGTCTTTGCCTGTATCAAAGTTTACAGTCTAAAAAGAAAACCATTTAGAGTGACATGTATTTGTTTGTTAATAGCAACAAAYACTTATAATGCAATAATAACAACARTCAGAAAGCACRTTTTAAGAAAATTCAAAAGGAATAAGGATTAATGATCTCTTGAAGTGAGTTTTTGAGGCTTTCTCCCCCTTATAAAATCATACAAGGTAGGCAATTCATTCTTCAATCAATATACAGTAAATGTTACTGTATAATTCTCCTCTAGAGGTAGATATAGATTAAACAATAACTTAGCTATATCTTTGATGATAATCACAATGACATTACTGAGAAATTTCCCAATTTCTATACACACCAAATTGTCTGACTAACTTCTGTCATTTTTATTGAGCACTTATTGATTATTTGTCTTTCAGCCACGTAATGGAAGGAGATCAGTGGATTTTCGCTGAGGAGGTATTTATTTAATGCTTTGAATCATGGTCTATATGTAAATTAGCTCATTTTTAGTCAAATAGACCTCAATATTTATGTTGAGAAGTAGTGCCAGAAAGCCTTTAACTGTGTAATCAACTTAGATTTCCACCGAAAACTTCTCCCAGATGTGTTAAATAYGCTTATCTTCAGATGAAGTGAACAGAAGCTGTAAGATAAAAATCTCACRCTGAAACTAAGTGCAAACTTCAGGATTTCATTTCAGCACATGCAACTATTTGGAGACATATAAAAAATAGACCAATATTATAATGCTCTCTTTTTAAATGTATTTTATACTGCTATCATATTTTAAGCATTATATCCAAATTAGTGTTATATCAACAGCTAATGCTTTTACTTACTTTTCAGGATTTTAGATTCCTGACCTAGAACTAAAACTGCAAGAATGCTGAGTACATGGACATACTGTTTTTCCTTACAATAATTATTCATTATTAATGTACAGTTAAACATCACTTGAATGTAAATGTTCTTAAACCAGTTTCTGTTAAGGATTCAGAAGTTCTTTACTTTCTTGATTATAATAAAAGCATATTAAAATTATTTGTTTTGTAGTGTTGTAATGTTTACAGACACATGTAATTCAACTGTAAAAAAGTCGGTGTATGCACCCAACAGACATCRCCTCTAACAACACTATTAAGCAAATTTTCCCTTCTAAATAAAGGCCCTCAGCTGGAGAGTTGTTTTAGTGTGAATGTTTGCAATGTAGACTATTGCATTTTTTTCCAGAATACASTGTGATTTGTGCATTTCACTGGCTGAAGAAAATAGATGAGAATCTGTATTTCCTTATTAAAAAGAACTTGAACAAGTTGCTTTAAGTCTACTAAAATACAATGCCATCATTTTTTTAGCTATTAAAAACACAGAAGCACTATGGTTCTCATTGAGAAGAAGACTTAATTGCAATTAAGATTACAATTTGCTTGAAAACTCAACTGCTTTTGATGGAAACGGAAAGACACTCTACTTAGAAGCATAAGATAACCTCACAGTTATCCCAGCTTCTCTCGCGGAGTTTATTTTCACACCAGAATGGTGTTAAATGATGTTGTTGAGGTAGTAATTATGTTGAAAGTAATAATCATTCAGACCCAGATGATGTTTAAGGTTCCTCCCAACCCAAACCACTCTGTGATTCTATGATTCAGTGTAGAAGTGGACTGAAGTTTTTAACATTGTGTTGGCTCACCCCAGCCCTGAGCTGCCCAGGGCAGGCAGCAGCTGAGGCTGAGCACCATGAGGGACTTGGGTCAGGGATACTGAATGGAGAGACACCCCAAGAGACTTTGGAATTCTTCCTCCAAAAGAAAAACTGAAAGATGAAATTGAAGAAATACTTTTACACTTGCAGAACGAAGCACAAAGCAAGTAAAACTAAATGCACATGCCATTAATATAGCAAATTTTGAAAAGCTGGGTATTACAAAAAAGTAACACTTCTTATAACAAAATTTCTTCAGTGTTTATGGTTGAAATGTAATTATTTTCACTTTGTTATTTTAAAATTATTCTCAGTTTCATAAATGGAAGTCAGTGTAAGCAAGATTTCCATTCTGAATAATTGGTAGCCATCCACTCGTGTATTTCTGTGTTTTCCTGTATGGTTAYAGTTAAATAAAGTTTGTTGGTTTTTTGCCCCTTTCTCTTACCCAGAATTATGGTGAAGTTAACTAATTTCTGAAATAAATACATATTTTTCTTTCATTAGTTCCACATCTGCTTACTACTTTTCATACATTTAAAATGTTTGGTGACTTTGGAGAACGAAAGGTGGCCTTTTTGGGGTGTGTTTCTACTGAAATTGCATGAAAGAATGAATCTTGAAGAACTAAAGAAAGTTGAAGATGGCTTTGATGAGGCTGATGAGAAAGCTATTGATATGTACAGGTGTAGTGAGATGTATTTATCCAAATTAGCAGTGCACATGTCACTATTGTACATGATYCTAAAAAATAAACTCAGAATCTTTTGAATAGTAATGTCTGCTGATTACAACTGCCTTTTTCTTCTTTCTACTCTTTYGCCATCAGATAGACAGCACCCACATTTCTGCCCTACTTCTTCCTGATTTCCTATGGCAGAGAGAAACAGTTTGCACCATGTTTTGCTTTGATGTTCTGTTAGAAYAAAATTATTTACTCTTAAAGCTGGATATTTAAAAGAAAGTGTTGAAGAGGCCACAGTGGAAACCACTGTTGTACATCCTCAGTTGAGCTGAAGATACATTGGACCACCAGATGTTTGGAGTTGTATGTTTGAAGTGGTACATTATCAACATTTATTCAAGTTACAAAAGTAGGATTCATTGTCTCTCTGCCTGATTAAATCTACCCCTCACTCTGTCACACTGAAGACATTTGCTGCCAGTCTTCAGGACTTCATGCAATGAAGATGAATGTTAAAAAAGTTCTGAATCCCATTTTCTCTCTTCTGTTTTGTGCATTTCACGCCAGAAAGAATGGACAGTTGGTTGTGGGTATCCCTTTTCTCTCATGTAGCACATGAAAAATAGGAAAGTCAAGATCTTAACATACATTGTGATAGGTAATGTTTTGCATATGGATTACATGCCACCTATATGAAGATGGCATGCCTTTAAAGAAAAAAACTGTATTTTAGTGCTGGAATCAAACTGTTCAGGATTTTAAATTCAATACATAATTAATTTGACTATTACGAACAAAATACATTTCTGCTTCTAGCATAGCACTCATTTCTGGTACAATATGGTTTCTAAATATATCATTGTAATAAAAATGCAATTTATTATGAATTACTATAGTAATTACTATAGCTTCACTATATCATACATTACAGTTTCTGTGTTGTAATGGTGGTAGCTGCAGAATCACAGAAGGGGCCAGGCTGGAAGAGACCACAGTGGGTCATCAGGTCCAACACCCCTGCTCAAGCAGGGTCATCTACAACACAGGACACAGGGWTGTGTCCAGACAGAGCTGGAATATCTCCAGTGAGGGAGACTCCACAACTTCTCCGGACAGTGTGTTCCAGTGCATGGTCACTCACACAGTAAAAAAGTTCTTCCTCATGTTCTGGTGAAACTTCCTGTGCATCAGTTTCTGCCCGTTGCCTCTTTCCTATTGCTTGGTACCACATGGCTCCATCCTCTGACACCTTTCCTGCAGATACTGATAGACATTGATGAGGCCCCTTCTCAGTTTTCTCCTCTTGAGCCTGAACAGATCCATTCCCTTCGCTTTTCCTCATAAGAGAGATGCTCCGGTTGATAAACTTGTATGGTTTTAAAAGTCAGTTGTGGATTCCTAGCAACCATTGTGTTTGTTTTCCTCTTATTCAATGAAGATTTTAATGGCTTTTCTATTTCTTCCTTCATGGAAATGTTCATTTGAAGTTCATATTGATGGAAAGCTCAGGGGAGACCTAATCAATATCTCTAAGTACCTGAATGGAGGGTATAAAGCAAACAGAGCCAAGGTGTTTCCAGTGGTGCCCAGTGACAGGAGCAGAGGCAGTGGACACAAACCGAAACATTGCAGGTTCCCTCTAAATATCAGGAAACACTTTTTTATTGTGAGGGTGACCAAGCACTGAAATGTTGCATAGTCTTCCTCCCTGGTGATGTTCAGAAGCTATSTGGACAYGGCTCTGAACAGCCTGCTCAAGGTTATGCTATTTGAGCAGAAGGGCTGAATCCTTCCAAGCTCTGACATGCTACAATTCTGGAATTCTGTGATATACAGCACATTGTTCTTAGGCATAACTGTGACACAATCAACTTATTCAACTGTTTAATTGGAGTACACCAGTCATTTTACTTACAGTACCATACAGAATCAATGTGTTTATAAATTCAGGTTCAGAAAACTTTGGCACCTTGTATCAAGACTTAGGAATTTTTGCTATACTGGACATTCACATGTACAATTTTGTATATATTTTACATGGTACTCTGCTGAGTTCTRCTCCGCATTGTATTGTAACTAAGAAAAATGAGACATGAAGTTTACACAAAATAAAAAAGCTAATGTGATCAAAACATTTAGTCTGTCTGGATTCTACCTGTACTTACTGCTGTTGCATTGTTAATATGACTAAAATAATCCTAGGACTAGCACTGTACTCTCAGAGAAAGAAAATCATTCACAWAAATATGTAGAAGTTGTGAACCTAAACTATTATGTATTGTTGGCAAAACATAATAACATTATACATACATTATTTAATTTTTTTTTTGTGAAAAGGAGTTCTACAGTGGCTTTCAGTTAGTGTAATTAATAGCTGCTTTTAGTTCAACAAATCTCAACGAAGCATTTTCCYTTTCCATCTTGAAAGTATTTTTGTAGAGGAAGACTGCCATCTACTGATTTTGCATTTCAGTTTTCATTAATTATTTTCAAACTGTTTGGTAAATACTAGTATTTTGAAAAAAAAAACAACTCTGTAAACAAACTGTAATTCCTTCTTAAACTAATCTCATTTTCAGAATCATACAAATATTTAGTACCTGTTCTAATGTTTTCTTGCTTCATCTCTAATGATAAATGCTTGTACAATTTGTTTGTTACTCAAGTTTCCCAAATCTGATACCAATAAATTAAGAAAATGTATTTTAATGTTATGTTATTGAATAAAGGATGGCATAGAAGCCTTTCTAGCTCTAAAATTATAAGACTTCAAGTTCAAGAGTTACTCAAATAATTTAAGTAATTGAGATGCACTAGATATTATTTTAAAATGCATGTAAAATGTTCCAAAGATGCTTGTTATTACTTTTACTTTCTAATTACACAGCAACACTTGTASGAATGGAAATGTCTGCAGAGGAGACAAAAGTATGGGAAGCTAAGAGAAAGTTGTGGAAAGCAGTATGCAAAAGAAGTTTACAAARGTTCCAGATGATGTGTGGGTATATAATTCATCTTTATTGGTCAAGGTAATTACATTCTTGCGTAAGATGTAGAATACTTCAATACAAATAATTGAACTGGTAATTAAATAACAATACCTAGAAAAATTAAATACAAGAGACTAATGAAATAGCAATTGTTTGGAGGCAATGGAATCATAAATCATCTGACCTCCTTGGTTTGTTAATTCACTTTGTGAGAATTAATTGTTTACTTTTGTTCAACTACATGAAAAATTTATTTTGCTGTACATACCATGCATGTAACCTTATTATTATTAAGRTCTCTGAATTTCACTGAGAAAGTGGTGTCCACTGTTTGTTTGCAGACTCTTTTCTCAGTGGGAATGGTCTAACAGGATTTTCTACCTTTATTTCCCCTTCGACTTGAACAAATCAAAAGCCCGTCAGGAAAAGTCTCAGTTATGCTAACTGAGGAAATTTGGGGGACTTGTTAGTTTATTGTCCTGTAAATTCTCTGATGTAGTAGCAGTTGTGACAGGATGCAGCAGAAATGTCAAAGGACTCCCATGATTAGTTCCGTGTATGTCAGCAACTCTATTAAATTATTTGAAAAGCAMTGAGAATTAGTATGGAATGTTTAACAATTTTTAGCTTCAGATCAGTTTCCTCTTTTCCTTCTTTTTAAGTATTTTGGGAGAGAGTTTTTTTCTCAATGATCAGGAATCAAGTATTTTTTTCCAGGAGCAAAAGGAACAGGACAATCAGATGAAATTGTTAGAATTACAGTAATTTAAATTTCAAGATCTGAAGAAAGAAAATAGCAGCCTTTCTTGATTTTCATTTCATTTGTATAATGAAGAACCAATTCTGCAACTTACCATTGCATAAATAAGAACCTCTGAGGAAACTGGTAATCCCTTAGGAATGAACATGAGAGTATCCCCAAAACCTGGCTAACCTGCCTTTGACCTCCAGGGCCAAACCTGCTGGTTTAATTTCAGTCAGATACAAAAGATCCTAATTGCTCAAAGATTAACAGGCTGGAGGGGAACAAGAAAAACCCTGTAGCTTCTGGGGTTTTCTGCGTCTGGGTTTTTTTCATTGCTTGGTTGTTTTTTTTTGAGGTTTATATACTRATTGTATTGTAAATAGTAACTATAAAAGTAATGAATGTGGTAAGGTAGGTAAAAATAAGAATATACCAAGGTTTCCCAGGCATATTTAAGGAATGGAGAAGTATTTAAACATTAAACTGAAAGCTAGTTTAAATAAAGTAAAAAATGTATGTTACAGATTCAAAATCAGTTTTAAAAGCTTAATGAGGAATGAAATTGAGACACAGTCCTTGATGTGTCTGGTAGMTTTACTGACATATTTCGTAGACTGTGCCTATGTATTTTTTACTTGAACAGTTCTTTCAATCACAATGATCTTAGAAGAAGCTAAATAAAATTTGTCCTGCAATTTTTATAACAAACTAAAGTAGAAGCAGACTATAGGGAAAGGTWCTTTTATTATTCAAAGGCTAAATAACTTCAGTTACTTGACAAATCATTTACACCACAATGTCACCATTTACACAAGTGTCATTGTATTTCTTTATCCTTTTTAGTATCCCAGTGTGTTTACTGGTTAACGAACACCTCAACCTACTGGCCTAAAAGTTTCCAGAGGGCAAGTTTCTCAAAGCCATTGTAAAGTGCTGCATTCAGAATTACCAGGACAAGTGTTCACCCACTGTCCTTGTATATAAACTAGTGAAATACAAGGCAGGTTCACTGGAAAAGCTGAACATGGGGGAATATATCTGAAAGCAGAAGGTATGAGAATTACTTTTAAATAATTCACATTATGGAAAACTTCTATGTTGTTTGTAATCATTAGATCTAAAGGCCACTGTTAAAGGTTGAAAAGGTATTTGATTAATTTTGAAAGGGAAAAAAGGTCCGAAAAAAATAAAAGAATTTGTATAGAATTTATGTAATTCTGTGGTAAGAATATTGCCTAAACACAAGTATTTTGCAATTTCATCATTAGATATTTTACTGGATTGGTTCAGCTCCAATTTTTGTTGTTGTTGAGATGTATCTTGGTCTTTATTAAAAGCCAGATCCCTTTTCTCTTGTGAGGAATTATTGCAATTGTCAGAATAAATTGTTATTTGGTATTACAGCAGAAGAATTGGACAATACAAAAACCWGTGATGTGAAGAAAGCATGTATTGCTTGAGAAAATTTTAACTAAGATCATCTGTTCTGACGTAAGTTAGGTAACATGTTTTTTTAGTCCTTTGGTMAGCATGTTAATAGATATCTACTTGCAGATACCACTGCTGGAAGTTTTTATTTTGCAGATTCAAAAAGATAACTAGTAGATGTATTTCCGAGACAATGGCTCATCTGCCGTTAACTGCCATTTCGAACTAGAACRCTAGCTAGTAGTTTAAAATGTAAATGGGTCACCAGGGACTCTAGATATGATTGCATAGTCACTTCAAGTATCAGTGCTGGCTGCTATAAAAGCAGCATTGCTTTCTCTCAGCAGCRAGCCTCCTTCATGCTACCGTGGCTGCCGCAAGGGACACAGGCACAGTGTGGAAGCAGGTGCAACAGGAAAAAAGCCAAACCTCCCCTTTGGCAGCCCTCTCTTTGTCCAAGAAAAGGGACCATACCATCGTAATTACAGCCAAGATGTGACAAAGCAGCAGCAAAATCCAAGGTTAAAATGCAGGTGTAAAAAACAGATGTTTCTGGTGCTTAGTCAGTTATGCTGTTCGGAAGAAAAGGCTCCAGGAATGTTAGCCAACCGTGCTTCACAAGGATTATGTGGATTGTGAACAAGTCAACATCCACTCATTTCAGTATTCTGGAATGATGTAAAAGTTAGTTTCAAAAWGAGTTTCCTCAAACAGATCCTGTTTTGAATAGGCCATTGTGGAYCAAAAAGGAACACGCTGAGCAGGTGGTTTGTTCTATGGCTCTGAATTATATCACATGCAGGATGGTGATGGCATTTCTGTAGGAAACATGGCTATAGTTAATGAAGTGCACTGGAAATTTCTGCATTTCTGGCCCTGTTCAGTTCCCTAATTCAGTAATTCACAAAAGATCTCCTACTTCTAATTTAGCATTGTTTAAAGTTATGTTGGATCCCACATAGCCCTTGAGTGTGAAACAAAACTATGATTACAGAGCAAACTCATGCTCATGACAAGAGCAGAGTAATAGTATTTCTAGGAGAAAAGGTTCATGAAAAGGCCACACCATCTCTAAACTGTCCTGTTCCTTCAGRATCCTATAAAATATTTTCAAAAGAGAAGTAGCATGAAAAAAWTTATCTTGCTTAGGCCACAACTTTGGCAGAAAATGCAAATGTGTCATTTTCACAGCTGTGTTGCCGGTTTCGATTTTGTCAAAGAATAATGTGTTACTGCAGCATTGTAGTAAGTAGGTGTTGTGCCACCATACGTGCAAGGTGTGAAGAGATAGCGCAGCATCTCTACTTTTTCTGCAGAATTTCCACACAAGATTACTAAAGATCTTTTTATTTGAATTTTATTTAAATTTGATAGATACAGCCTCATGTTACTTTTAGCCTCCTCGTTTCTTTGCCATATGCATTTCTAAAAAAAATATTCTGGCATTTTCTCCTGGATGTTCCATTCCTCCTGTTTCCTATTATAGCTACCACATTTCATTGTAAGAGTGTCATCCTTCCTATGAGTAATATTACTAGTTTTCCTTATGTCACATTTTCCTTAATTGAAATCTAGAATTAGAGTATTATGTATCAGTAACAAAAGCACTTTTACTGATGTTTTTTTTTCAATTCCTCCAGTGAAAAAACTCATGGTTAGTTCTTTGGGAGCATTACTGGTAAAGAAGCTCCTGGCCCTACAGTATCTTTGTGTAAGACTGTGAATCAAACGGGGGAACTGAAGTACCTGAAAAGAAACCCGGGAAGGAAAATCAGTCACAATTTGCAGTCAAGTTCTTTATTTCATTCTAGACACAAAAACTAGTTATGCTTCTTACATTTGTACAAATTACATTTGTAATTACACTCTTAGGTATACTGCTATTCGGTATCAACTGAAAAATAAAATCCTTGTAACTGAGTGATAAACTGGGATTACTTACACAGTATTGCCGCTAACCGTTTTATTTTACAGAAAACAGTTCRCCGCAATGTTCTGCTGCAGACGCAACAGGTTTATGTTAAACAGCCGCTCCATGTTTATCTAATGGTATTAAAAGCCTCGTATACACAAAAGGGCTGAGACAGACACATCAGCCGCTCTTCGAAATTTCACCGGTTTATGCACAAGAAAGAAGAAACCACGGATCCCCGCCGGAACGGGTTCCTTGAACTCCGGGTTCCTAAATGACTCGGGAGGCATTTCGCGGAGAGCACGCGGRATGCCACTTGTTCAGCTGTGTGAATGCGCGTGTGACCGCGTTCCGTGCCAGGTTCATGGTGCGGGCAAGAAGCGTCTCCGTTSAACAGAGCCCCTGCCGCGGGGCTGGCTAGAGGCTGTGCTGTCAGCACGGTGCCGGCCTGCTGCCGGCTGCCCGCCCGGCGGCCCCTGGGGCTCCGCGCCGCCGCCATTTGCTCCGGGCGCGGGGTGAGGTGAGGCGAGGTGAGGCGAGGTCAGGGAGGCGCGCACCCACCGCGCCTGCGCACAACACGCCCCCCCGTTCCCCCGCGCAGGCGTGGCGAGGCGCGCGCGCAGAGCGGGGATCACCTCCCCGGTGCGCCCTCCCTGCGCACGCGCGGTGGCCCCGGAGTGC